GAGTGTGTGACATGAGTGTGTGAGACCAGGAGTGTGCAAGAGACAGGAGTGTGTAAGAGACAGGAGTTTAAGAGAACAAAGTGAGACAAGGAGAGTGAGACCAGGAGTATGTGTGACCAGGAGTGTGTAAGAGACAGGAATGTGTGACATGAGTGTGTGAGACCAGGGGTGTGTAAGTGGCAGGAGTGTGTAAGAGACAGGTGTTTGAGACTAGTATTATGAGACAAGGAGTGTGTGACATGAGTGTGTGAGACCAGGAGTGTGTAAGAGACATGGGTTTGAGACTAGTATTATGAGACAAGGAGTGTGTGACATGAGTGTGTGAGACCAGGAGTGTGTAAGAGACAGGAGTGTGCAAGAGACAGGAGTTTAAGAGAACAAAGTGAGACAAGGAGAGTGAGACCGGGAGTATGTGTGACCAGGAGTGTGTAAGTGACAGGAGTGTAGAGAATGGAGTGTCTGAGACAAGGAGAGTGAGACAAGGAGAGTGAGACAGGAGTGTGTGACATGAGTGTGTGGGACCAGGAGTGTGTAAGAGACAGGAGTGTCAGACCAGGAGAGTGAGACCCGTAGTGTGAGACCAGAGTGGAAGAGAACGGAGTGTTTGGGACAAGGAGAGTGAGACAGGTGTTTAAGAGGACAGAGTGAGACAAAGAGAGTGAGACCAGGAGTGTGAGACGGGCGTAAGGGAACAGATTGTCTCAGACGAGGAGTGTGAGAAAGGAGTGTGAGACAGGGGTGTCAGCAAATGGAGTGTTTGATATAATAAGAGTGAGACTAGGAGGGTGAGACATGAGTGTGTGGGACTAGGAGTGTAAGAGAACAAAGTGTTTATGACAAGCAGACTGAGACCAGGAATGTAAGACAACAGAGTGCTTGAGACAGGGAGAGTGAGACCAGGAGTGTGTAAGACAACAGTGTCTGAGATAAGACATGACTGAAACCAGGGGTATGTGTGACCAGGATTGTCAGAGCAGGAGAGTGAGACCCATTGTGTGAGACCAGAGTGTAACAGAACAGAGTGTTTGAGACAAGGAGGGTGAGACAGGAGTTTAAGAGAACAGAGAGCGACAAAGAGAGTGAGACCAGGAGTGTGAGACACGTGTAAGGGAACAGAGTGTCTCAGACAAGGATTGTGAGAAAGTGTGAGACAGGCGTGTAAGAGAATGGAGTGTTTGAGACAAGAAGACTGAGACTAGGAGACTGAGACAGGAGTGTCAGAACAGGAGAGTGAGACAGGAGTTTAAGAGAACAGAATGAGACAAAGAGAGACCAGGAGTGTGAGACAGGTGTAAGGGAACAGGGTGTCTCAGACAAGGAGTGTGAGAAAGGAGTGAGACAGGTGTAAGGGAACAGGGTGTCTCAGACAAGGAGTGTGAGAAAGAAGTGTGAGACAGGAGTGTAAGAGAATGGAGTGTTTGAGAAAAGAAGACTGAGACTAGGAGAGTGAGATGAGTGTGTGACATTAGTGTGTGGGACCAGGAGTGTAAGAGAACAATGTGTTTATGACAAGGAGAGTGAGAACAGGAGTGTGTAAGACAACAGTGCCTGAGACAAGACATGAGTGAGACCAGGAGTGTGTAAAAGACAGGAGTGTCGGACCAGGAGAGTGAGACCCGTAGTGTGAGACCAGAGTATAAGAGAAAAGAATGTCTGAGACAAGGAGAGTGAGACAGGAGTTTAAGAGAACAGAGTGAGACAAAGAAATTGAGACCAGGAGTGTGAAATGGGTGTAAGGGAACAGAGTGTCTCAAACAAGGAGTGTGAGACAGGAGTGTGTGGGACTATGAGTGTAAGAGAACAAAGTGTTTTCTTACAAGGAGAGTGAGACCAGGAGTGTAAGAGAGGAGTGTCAGAGAATGGTGTGTCTGAGACAGGGAGAGTGAGACAGGAGTTCAAGAGAACAGAGTGAGACCAGGAGTGTGTGAGACAGGAGTGTGTAAGACATGAATGTGTGAGACATGAGTGAATGAGACATGAATGTGTGAGACAGCAGTGTGTGGGATGGGAATGTGTGAGACCAGGAGTGTGTGAGAGTGTGAAGGATTGAGGGCAAAATGAAACCTGGTGCTCATATTGCTCTTCATCACAAACGACTCAGTCCATCCTCCTCTTCATCTGCATGAATCTAAAGTCACCATGAGCTAACATTAACCCTCAGGTTTCTCAGCAGGTTGGTGGGTAAATCATTTTTCTGTCTCCATGTGTCTTCCTGTGATCCGTACAGMCCCTTAGGGGTCCTGACAGACCCTCAGAGGTCCAGACAAACCCTCAGAGGTCCAGACAGGCCCTCAGACATCCGTATCAGGACACTGAGGGTCAGATGGTTTGTTGTTAGACATCTAATTAAAAAACTAACTACAGCCTACCTTAACCTTTGCTTTGCCCGACATGCTGCCATCCTTCTCTGCCTGCTTTGATGAAACTGGACTGATGTGTCCCTCCTCTGGAAGCAGGCAGGGTTGAGACTCCATTTTACTGGAAGAGCTCCTACGTATATAAATGTTATTACACAATTTACAGCTTGTTGTCTTGCTTTGATCTGTCAACAATAAAGATAAATATGAGAAAATATGAGACATTCTGAACTAACAGACAGCAGGCAGCCTCCACCGGTTGGTCTACAAATACCTTTAATTTAATATGTTTAATACACATTAAACCAGAGATTCTTAACCCATGGGCCGTGGCCCAATTGTGGTCCGCGAGCACCACCTTGAGGGCCTCAAAAGAACAACAGTTTTTAACTTTGGGCTGCAGAGGGGCGTGGGACCACATTGATTTTAAATAAGGTGCAATACACTTTCTCACCACTGGTAGCGGCAGTGTGCCACTCAGATGTTTAACAACTTTTTTAATCTTTAGAAGAAGAACCTTAGATACCTGCCAAAAATAGAAACCTATTTTAAATGAAAAGTAGAAGCAAATTTTAAGGCAACCTGTCAAATGCCAAAGTTTGTCACTAATATGACGTTCAGCTTCTGGTTCTATCATGCAGTATTTGCAGTTACTGCTATATTTTAAT